ACCATTAGTATAACTTTAAATGTGACGATTATATTACGCACATGTGATTAGAAGAGTTCCTTCTACGTACTTATAACTTGAACCATGTTGGAAATTCTACTTCGAGCTTCCTGCTTATCAGAGACTCATCCTCTATTTCCAAGCCGTCGATAAATAATTTGCTCACAATATTATTTTTTGTATTTTCAAATTAGTGAGTATATAACTAACATTCTCAATAATAAATGACAGTATATATTGTGTTTGGAGACCATAAATCTTACTATATAAATAAATGCACTTCATCATATTTTATCAAGATGTACAATCTAGTTGCTCGAATCTCTTTATCTCAAAGATATCGTGTACCATGCCTCCCTGCTGGCTCACCTGATATTTGATGTTTGGATAATTCTGACACACCTCTTGAAGGCATATCACCTACCATATGAACTCTTTGATGGTCTCGCTCAAAATAATATGAGCAAAAGTTGTCTCCTGCAACATATAGGCTTTGTAGATCGATCCCTCGGGATGTGTTTTATTCTTAATTATTTTTTTTATTCTATTTAAAAAATTTGCTGCACATATTTTATATAGAATATGGTGGTCATTTAGTGTGAAATAAAATGAGGTCAACATGTAATGTAAGCATCAGAAATACACACCTCTCGAAGAGATACATCCATCTGTACTGCATTGGACGCCTCAGTATAGCCTCGTAACATAGATGTATAGGCAGATGCTTCATAGAGTCGAAGAAACTAGGAAGAAATATTTGCTCAAGCTTACATAATAATAGAACAATACTCGCATCAAAATATCTCAACAAGTCAACAGTCAGAGTCCTGCACACAAGTCTCTGAAGAATATACTGACTTCTTTCAACGAATGAAACACTGGCTCCGGCAGCGTGTGAAATGCAATTGGTAATAAGAACTGTAGAAATATATGACTGTCATGATTGTTCATGCCAAATACCTTACCCGTTCCCTAGTCAAAGTAGCTGCTCAAATTTTAAACACAAGCATTGGGAAACTTCAGAGAATTCAACGACTTAAAAATTATTTTTTTTTTATCTTGTGTAAGACAATATGCAGCTTTGGGCTTTATTAGTTTAACTTCATTTGTCTTGTGAAGCTCTAAAATCATTCTTTTACAACACTCTTCCATACTAGACTTGATGATATCCCAATTGAAGTGTGGAAATATTTAGGAGATTTGAGAGTTTCTGTGCTTACTAAACTCTTTAATACTATTTTAAAAATTAAAAAGATGTTTGAGGAGTGGAGGAAGAGTATTTTGGTCCCCATTTTTAAGAATAAAGGGGATGCACAAGAGTGTGCAAATTATAGAGGAATTAAGTTGATGTGTCATACTTTAAAGTTATGGGAGAGATTCATTGAACATAGGTTAAGACGCATTACAAAGATTTCTCATAATCAATTTGGATTTATGTCGGGCAGGTCTACTATGGAAGCTATACATTTATTGAGAGGTTTGATGGAGAAGTTCAGAGATAATAAGGAGAATCTGCATTTGATTTTTATTGACTTAGAAAAAGCTTACGATAAGGTTCCAAGAGATATCCTTTGGAGAGTTCTCGAGAAAAAAGGTTTTGATTTGACTTATAATCAAGTCATTAAAGATATGTTTGCTAGAGTTGTTACTTGTGTTCAAATTGAAGGAGGATTGATCAAATATTTTCTTATTTTTGTTGGATTACATTAGGGATCGACTTTGAGCCCATATTGTTTTGCTTTAGATATGGATTGTCTTACTGGACATCTACAGGAGGATGTATCTTGTATGTTTTTTACTTGTGATATCCTTCTCGTGAATAAAACAAGAGAAAAAACCCAGGAAAAACTTGAATTATGGAGGTCTACATTGGAGTCTAAAGGCCTTCGTTTAAGTAGAACTAAAACTGAATACATGGAATGTAATTTTAGTGGTAGTAGCTGTAATAGCTCTAGTGACAGAAGTGTGACTTTGGGTGATCAAATTATTAAAAGGTGTGAATGATTTAGATATCTTGGGTCTGTTTTTCAGAGCGGTGGTGATATAGATGGGGATGTTAATAGTAGAATTCAAGTTGGTTGGTTGAAGTGGAGGAATGCTTCGGGCCTTTTGTGTGATAGAAAAGTACCGCTAAGACTGAAAGGAAAATTTTATAAGACGGTGGTGAGACCTGCAATGCTCTATGGCGCTGAATGTTGGCCTTTAAAAGAGAAGCATAATAATAAGTTAAGTGTTGCCGAGATGAGAATGATTAGGTGGATCACTTAGAGATAAAGTGCAAAATGAATATATCCATGATAGGGTTGGTGTAGCTCCTGTGACGGACAAAATTAGAGAAAGTCGTCTTAGATGGTTTGATCATATTAAACGTCGACCATTAGATGATCCGATTAGGAGAGTAGATGTTTTAAATTCGACTTGTGTTAAGAAAGGCAGAGGTAGACCTAGGAAGACTTGGGCTTATTGTATTAAAAATGATCTTAATTTACTAAGATATCCATAACAGTGTTGAAGATGTTATCAAAAAAATTCTCCTTAATTTGCGTCACATCGAGATTATGTCTAATCAGATTAGTCTTCCAGTACGGAGGTTCCCAGAACATACTGCGCTTAGTCCAGTCGCGCGTGACACTGAAATCAGGAAGACGAGATGAATTTAACTCTGGTCTCTCGATGATCTTCGGTACTTCACTAATCATATGTTATACTTCAACTTCAGTAATCTTGGGGGGGGGGGGGGGCTTTCTTTGGGGTGGGGGGGGGACTTGATCTCATGTTTTCGAAGAATGCATCTTTTTTCCTTCTAAATGGGTGATCGCGGTGTAGAAATATTCGGTGGCAGTCGCACCAGCTGTTTTTCTTACCATGTTTCAGAGTAAATGTCTTTGACATATCAATGCAATAAGACGAGCCAATTTCCTAGGTGTGCTCCAACCAGATAGCATACGGCTGCAAGTAGACATCGATTTTCCCCTTTGGACTATGTAGATCTGGTATGATGAACGTCAGAAATAAGAATGGCATGATCAAACATATATCGGGGGGCAAATTGTACGATGTAATGATCACTAGTCAGCATGAGTACAGGGTTGCAGCGTGATTGTACGAGGTGAAGTCGTCCGCACATAACTCAAGTTTAAAATTGCGTGCTTTAGCTGCGAAGTTCGGGTAAGTATGGCTAAAATGTCTCCAATTTTCACCATATGACAGATGACTCATCGAGTTAACATCAACGGATCTAGTACTGTGTCAAGTCATGTGAGGGGCTGTATGCATGGAAGCGAACAATATCTGAAGTCGGGATATAAACGAAAAATAAAAGAAACGCTTGTATGGAGTATTATTCTCATTTTTACTCTTTGGCCCCATTTATTTGAATCTATCTGCACCACAAAATCGGCAGGTCGTCTCGATTGCATCGGCATTGTAATATATCATGTTGTCATTAACACAGCAATCGATCTTCTGACATGTAAACCTAACAGTGAAACCAACTTTTTAGTTTTGTACAGGCCATCCAACACTATATTTCCTGCAAAGTTCGTCTATTTTAATAATGTTGTTACTTAATTGAATGCATCTCTGGGCATGTTAAAATTAAATTTGACGGTCAACATTATCTGCGCGACTGATAACTCTGTATGTGTTGTGCAACTATCCAATGAATATTGTTGTGCAACGTTCAGTAAGTTATAGAATCATTTTGATTCATTGTTTGGTGTTTCAGGTTCGTGTTAAACGCTATCAACAAATTGAGTTCTTTGAGCATCCTGAACCATATCTTATTGTCTCAAGATCAAACTTCTTTGCAGGGTGGTCATAACTTGTCGAAGCACCTCCTTTCTCAAACTGAACTTCTTGTTCTTGCTCAGTATGTGCACTCTGTATAAATAATTAGGTTTGAGTCATTTGTGGGAAAGATCCAACTTAACTTCTTCGGGTGGTATAAACACTTGATTTTTGTGCTTCACACAAGGACACTGAAACGTATCTTCCGACAACAAATGGAAGCTGCGATGCCACCTGCACGAATTTATCAATGTCATTCTAGAACTCATTTGTGAGTCTTTTTTGTCATAGATATAATTTGTTATACATCCAAGCATTCAAATTACGAATATCCATCCGCAGCAAAGATCTAGCTTTACAAATCAGTAAAACTACTCCGCAAATAAAAATTAGTCAATACATATCAAAATGTACATTGGATGATTATGTTTAGTGGTTCGTGGGAGCTAAATCTAATTGAAGAAAATGACATATGATTAGTATTTAAAGGGTTAAAGGGATGGAGCATATTTAACCATTGTATCCATTCCAATGTAATGGTTACAGACTAAATATAAACTCACTTTGGTCATTTTAGGAATATGGCGATTTCTCCTAAGAGAGATCTCATAACCAAAAGAAATAAAGTGCACAATGAGTTTCAAGAGATTAGAGATAAGGGAGAAGTAGGACTTGAAATCACGTAAAGGAAATGATGGGTATGAACTTGCTTGATTATCAATGTATGTATTTTTTGTAGATTTGGTGGTGTAGTTTGCATAATAGATTCCATTTGTATTATCTTTTTTTTTTAATAGTGGAATGATTTTTTTTATATTTGTTTTATATTTTATACGAGTGAGCCCCACATAAAATCTTTCTCCTTCTATAATTAGGATTATTATCCAAGTTCATTTAAACTTTAGAACCTCCAAAAACATGTTATCACAATGTTATCACAATGGATGCAAGTTTTAAAAAGATGCTAGGGATCTGGAAATTCTTATTTGGGGTCAAAAATGATTTCTCTTTGACCTAATAGAATGTTTTGATAGCTTATTTTATCAAGTTAATAATTATTGAAATTTTGTAAGATACATATCTATATATGAGTCGAGGCCTTCAAAGTATAATAGTCTGATGTCTTACGATTGCATTGCTATCTTTTGGCTTTAACTCTGGTTTAGACTTTAGAACCTCAAAAGCTTGACAAAAAGTTTTAAGTTTTGCAGGTTAAAATCTGGGATCCAACTTTGCGTGGTTCTGAACTTCGGGCAACACTGAGAGGACATACAAGGTGAAATTCTTGATTTAATAAAGAAATAGTAAAGTATTAAAATATTTCCCTAACTATTTACTTGAGATTATTTTAGTCTCAAAGTCTATAAAAGTGTAAAACTAGTTTCTAGATTCTTTTAATATGGGTTGAAATAATCTCCATAGAGAAGTATTTTAGCTTCCATTAAGGACTAAAACACTTTTATGGATCTCTAAAAAGAGTCGGGGGACCATTTTTGACATTTTTTTATCTTTTCTAGCTTTGTATGGAAGTTGTATTACCAGATTTTTCACAATTGTGTTTGTTAGATTCCTGTTACTTTTATACTCTGGTCAAATGATTCTTCTTATCAGGTACAAGAAAGTATTAATATTTTTTTGGCCTCTATAACAAGAGATCTTTGTTAGATTTAATCGTTATGTCCTTTTGCCTGATTTCTAATTTGCATTTGTGCGCCATTGTTGACCTCCTTGCTTTTCAAATGAATAAACCAAATGCAATATTAGTTTAATAACTCATTTTTTTATTTGAAAAACTTGCATACATACCACTCAATCTTATGTATTCACATATCTAACACCTATTTTTACATTTATACCACCCAAATCTCTCATATCACATAAAAAATGACACTATTTTAATTTTTAAAAAGTGAAATACATCTTTTCAATGATAAGTAAGGTGGCATTTAAAAACTGAATTTTAGGTATTTGATATGTAAATACATGGGAATTGAGTTGTATGCATGTAAATCTTCCTTCTTATTCTATATTGCCAGATCAATATGTCAAACACAACTCGATTAGCTCATCTTCATGCCAAGCCAATGTAAGCTTTACGAATTTTAATAAATATCCATACTTTTTGAACTTCTAGCTCCTTGAAGCCTCAAGTGGCTCGGGGAAGGTGTACCACCTGCTGAGTGATTCACCTCTTGATTTCAGTAATTTTAACCGGTTGGGATCCTTAGAGCACTCTAGTTGTACTTTTGCTCAGACAGATTTTCCTTGGGCTATTGTATGCAATTTTTTAAAATTTTCCTCTTATATTCATGTTTAGCTTTTTTTTTTCTTTGTTAATTTTTTTTAATCTTATTTCATGTTTTCTAAACTTAGTTATCATCATTAGCCAACTTTTTGGATCAGCATTGTGAATCCTCCTTTTTCATTTGTTGCTGTCTAGTTTTACTATATTTCTTTTTGAACAGATTCTATTCATTTAATGTTTAGTCTACCATTTTCCTTCCTAATTCTTTGATCATATTTTCTAAATTTAATGCATTTCTACCATCCGTTGTCCTTGTTTAAATCACTTAGTCTATTTTCAATCTCCCTATCTTCAATAGAGGATTCTAACATTTCTTTAAATAAGAATCATTCATTAATTTTTTTTTCCGATTTTTTTTTTCACTAATCTTCCATTTACATTTTCAATTCTATAACACCCAACTTTGGTAATAATGATTTTTCATAGCCCAACTTTCATATTCATATAATATGGACGAGGTAGTATAAGTTATAAATTTTCTCTATTACCTTCATGACATCTTTTCATCACACAACTCTTTATAGTTAAGGACCAACATGCTTTATAATAGATCCAAGATACTTAATCTAATTAACCTAAGTATCAACTTATACAACAACAACAACAACAACAACACCATCTTTAATCCACTAAGTGGTGTCAGCTACATGAATCCTTTTTCTCCATTGTGTCGTATTTAGTGTCATATTTTCATTTAATTCTAATAAATTAAGATCATTTTTTAAACAATATGTCTATCTCTGCATTTCTTAACATAAGTCGAATCTAAAATATCTACTCTCCTAATTAAATCATGAGATGGTCGACGTTTAATGTGACCAAACCATCTAAGATGACTCTCTAATTTTGGCCGTCACTGAAGCTACAACAACCCTATCACGGATATATTCATTTCGCATTTGTCTCTAAGTGTAAAGCCACTGATCCACCTAATCATTTTCAATCTCGGCAATACTTAACTTAGTTTTAAGATTCTCTTTTAAAGGCCAACATTCAACGCCATAGAGCATTGCTAGTCTCACCATCATCTTATAAAATTTTTCTTTCAATCTAAGCGGTACTTTTCTATCACATAATAGGCCCGAAGCATTCCTCTACTTCAACCAACCAACTTGAATTGTACTAATAACATCCACATCTATATCACCTTCACTTTGAACAATAGACCCAAGATAAGCGTTCACTCCTTTTAATAATTTGATCACCTATAGTTACATTTCTGTCACTAGAGGTGTTATTACTAAAATTATATTCCATGTATTCAATGTTAGTTCTACTCAAACGAAGGCTTTTTAGACTCCAATGTAGACCTCAATCATTTAAGTTTTTCCTGAGATGTCTCTCTTATCTTATCCACGAGAAGGATATCATCAGCAAAAAGCATACACCAAGTTACATCCTCCTGTAAATGTCCCGTTTGACCATCCATAACTAAAGCAAAAAGATATGGGCTTAAAGCTGATCCCTGATGCAATTCAACAGAAATAAGAAAATATTTGGTCAATCCTCTTGTTCGAACACAAGCAATAGCTCTAGCATACATATCTTTAATGACTTGAATATAGGTCATATCAACACCTTTCTTCTTAAGAACTCTCCAAAGGATATCTCTTTGAATCTTATCATAAGCTTTTTCTAAATCAATAAAAATCATATATTGGTCCTCTTTATTATCTCTAAACTTCTCCATCAAACCTCTCAATAAATGTATGGCGTCCATAGTATACCTCCCCGGCATAAATCCAAATTGATTATGAGAAATATTTGTAATACGTCTTAACCTATGTTTAATTATCCTACCCTCTCCGAAAATTTTAAAGTATGACACATCAACTTGATTCCTCTATAATTTACACACTCTTGTGCATCCCTTATATTTCTAAAAATGGGACCAAAATACACTTCCTCCACTCACGCATCTTTTTAGTTTTTAAAATAATATTAAAAAGTTTAGTAAGCCAAGAAACTTATCAACCTCAAGTATCAACTTATGTTCTAATAACTTTCTAATTTCTTCAATATAGTATTTATTTTTTTGATAAGTTATGTAATTTTGTATTTTTTTTCTCTTAATGCATGGATATAGACATATGCCTCATGCATATGCGTGCATGCATGTATGTATATGCACATATGACTTGTAGTTGAAACTAATTGTGATTTTCCAATACCTAATTTTTTCATAAGAAAAGATGTTAAAATCGATTTTTAGTTGCATTATCTATATATAAAGAATTATTTTTAATATTAATTCTCTTATATTATGTATAACAAATATTTTGATAATTTTAGTCTATTGGTCTTGCTAGTATTTTGTATTGATGTTTTTGTACTTGCAAGGGTTTCATTTTGGGCCATTTACATGCATACCACATAATCCTTATATGTCCACATATCTAACACCCAATCTTTAGTATTTGCATGCTTGCTTTTAGAAGTGAAATGCACATTTTTTTTTGCATAGGTTTATAACACTAAAGTGTTATAAATTTAAATATCAAACTTTAGGTGTTAGATATGTTAATACATAAAATTTGGTGGCATGTATGTAAATTACCTTTTTGTTTTTTTTGTATTTAATTTCTTGCTTGAATTCGACGCCTTTTATAAGGTGTATGCCTTGGATTTATCATTAGGTGAATTTGGACCTTCTGGCCTTAATGATGCCTGTTATGATTAGTTCTGAAAATTGTTGACTCCAATCTGCATTGTTCTCTGCTTGCAGACCTATTCGTGCGATAAATTCTGACAGGTGCAAAGTGGTATCAGGTTCAGATGACCAATCTGTCATAGTCTGGGATAAGCAGACATGTCAGCTTCTGGAAGAGCTTAAAGGCCATGATTCATCGGTATATATGTCAATTTATTTTCTAAACAAGTTAATTTTCTTGTCACCGTTTGTAGATTTGTTTCTGTTACACAAAACTTTTTTTTTGGTTCTCTAGTACTTTTTTTGTACCGTCGCATGGATTACTCATTCCTAAAAATCAAAGTAAAATGTTTTATTTGAAGCTAGCTGTTAACCGTTTGTGGTATTCAAAATTGAGAATCCATAAAGTATAAATAGTTTTACCATCATGTTACTCTGAAGTTGTGTTGGTATTAAATTATTGGAAGATTTGCATACATACCACTCAGTTCTTATGTATTTATATATCTTACACATAAACCTCAATTCTTACATGTATTGCACCTTATCCAAGCATGAAATGTGTAATTTATTTTTTCAGAGTTTAAATAGTGATATTTTATGTGATATGAAAGATATTGATATTATAAATGTAAAAATAAAATTTTGATGTTTTATGTAGATTACGTAAGAATTGGATGGTATGTTTATAAATGCCCCATTATTATTCTAAATCACTTGAAAGCTATGCAAACTTCAGAAGTATTTCAAGTTAATGGTGTCTTCTTATATTCAAGTCATTAAAGATATGTATACTAGAGTTGTTACTTGTGTCCGAACTGGAGAATTGACCAAATATTTTCCTATCTCTATTGGATTACATCAGGGATCGACTTTAAGCCCATACATTTTTGCTTTAGTTATGGATGGTCTTACTGGACATTTACAGGAGCCTGTACCTTAGTGTATATTTTTTGCTGATGATATCCTTCTCGTGGATAAGA